CATCTACTGTGAATTAAAGTAGTTTGCGATGATTTGATTATGTAATTTTTTCACTTGTTGTTGTTTTTTCGTGAATTATTCATATTACCTTTCAAATAAAATGTGAATTGAAAAACGAAACAGTTGTTTTTCCTGCAATCGAGCGCCAAAATAAAAAGTTAAGTAGCAAACACTCACATATCTGAATTCCTTATGAAATTACCTTTTCAATGCTGTGTCACCTTTAGTACTTTCCCTAATCAAATTATATAAATGAACAAGGGGTGGGGAGAGAAGTATGACAGTTGAGGTAACGATAAGATTTATCCCCCTTGGATTTAAAATTGGAGTGTTTTTGCATTACCTATGTTCACAACACATGTGTTGTGAACATAGGGTTAAATCGAACCATAATTACAAATTTCGTCCGCCATTTTGGAGCCACTATCTTGATTTTTTTGCATTGAAAAACAATTCATAATTTCCGACCCTGAAAACCGCCACTTATCAATTTTGAATCAAATCGAACCATAATTGCAAATCTTGTCCGCCATTGTGAAGCCGCCATCTTGTTTTTCCCCTAGAGAAACTCTATAATGCATTGTCACCGAATTTATGTCAAATTAGCTTGCGAATGAAGTATCATAATTTGGAAAACGGAACAGGTTTTTTCCCGCAAGAAGGCGCCAAAATCGAAAGTTAGGTAGCTAAAATTAACATGGCTGAATTCATTATAAAATTACCTTTTCAACGATGTATCACACTTACTACTTTCCCTACTCAAATTGTTTGAGTGATAGTCACTGAGAGATATGACAGTTGTCATATTCGATCTGTTTCGTTTTCGGTGCCCCACCCTGTATATAAATTACTGACTGGAAATATATTAATGTAAATGTCTTGTTTGAAGTATCTTTCTGTTGTTACAAATCTAAGTTTACCTTCTCATCGAATTCCCATTTCTGTCGTGTAGATCCGCTGCAAGCCATAATCCTAACTTTCAGAGGTCCCAAACCTATCCGTTCAGGAGCATCCAAACAGATTGAATCATCTGTCATTATGAAACCGTCGTTGGTCATCACGAACATTTCCATTTGTACGTCATCCCCCAAACATCTGTTTCAGAAATGAATATTTTGTTCGCTTATATAATTTTAGCATCTTCAAAAAAATTCTAGCTTAGAGTCAAGATGCATAGAAATTCTGGTGGGTTTAGTGATTGTTGTGTGTGTTGGTGTGTTGACTGATTGTTCTGTCAAAATCTCTTCATGGAAGCAATGAGATTATGTCTAAATTTTGCTCACATGTTGATAGTGTAAGCACCGAAATTTGTCGCGCATATTTTGCTCAAATCTTCAATTTATGGACCATATTCTTGAAAGAAATCTTTCACCTAATATCAGTTTATTTCCAAACGTAGACATTGAAGTGAAGTACCAACTTGACAGTGTCAAACAGTGTCTTTTGAGGTGTACTCAGAGCCCCTCTATAAATGGAATACTGAAATTCATCAAATCTCTTTCTTCATTATTCCTTCATCAATATTGCTGTAGATCGAGAGTTTTTGGCAAAATATTCCACAAAGAGAAGGGTTCCAAGTAATTACACCAGTGATATACTATGCATCTTGCTTGAAGTGCATACGAACCTGTCTATTTTTGCTATGCCCATCGGTTGATTGGATAATCCCTTTCTGTCTGGTTTCAGTAAGCAAAGGTCCACCCCTAGGTTACGAATTCGACCAAAAAATCTACCTTTCTTTGGAAAGAAGTGTTGGGGCCAAATATTATCTAGGTACCACTCAAAATTTTTGCACTGTAATCTTTTCTTCAATTCCAATCTTGAAGTGATGTTTTGGTCATCTTTGACACTCCTGGAAAGAAGAATACTTACATAAAGTCAGCCAACCGATATTTGAAAGTAGTAACAGATACAGTTACAGAATCAAGTACTTTAACACATGTAGAATAGAATTTAATGAAAAAGCCCTTGACGTCTCAATCATTGCCGAACTATGTGTGAATTGAAATGGCTACTTCAGTTTTCGCTCCAGTAGAATCCATTAACAAATGTGCTTTAAATGTTGACGAAAATATTATTATTCTTAATATATACGACGCTCTCATACCCCAAAATTCTTCGTATATCTTTGATACTCTGGTGGAATTGTGTTCATAAATGACGGGAGTCATCGATATACAAATTCAAGAATGAGAATAAAAATGAAGCTGTGAAATCACCGAAAACATTTCTAGAAAAGAACTGTTACTGAAAACTACAAACCTGCAATAAGAAGAACATTTTATTGTGAGAAAGAAATGCCGACCCTTGACAAAATAACGGAAGCCTTGAGGAAATATCAAAGTAATCTAATCTAATGAAAGTAATCTAATGATGGACAGAAAGAAATTGTGAAAAAGTTTGAAAGAATTCAGTCTCAAATGGAAAAAACAAAATAGAAAATTGCTCCTAAGTGAAAATGATGAAATTATTTGATGTAGGAGACATTATGAGTACCTAAGGCACATATGAGATTTTTGACGTGAGAATAAAAAGATTCATTATTTGGACGAAACTTGGCTAAATGACATACCTTCGGAAGCATGTGATGAAACAAAAATATTACAAGCTCACGTCAAGCATTTTTTGAAGGCTGGTCTAACAGATTAAAGTCGTCTTCTGGAAAAAAAATCTACTGATTATTACCCACGTTGGAAGTGTTGATAGTTTTACTGTAGGCAGTTTATTGATGTTTGAGTCAAAGCATTGTGGTGGTTATTGTGGCTTAACGAAGCCGATTAGTTCGTATGGTGAGTGGTCTTTCAGGTCAGATGGTGAGAGTACGGCTCTGCAAAACTCTGAAAACCAGATTCGTTCCCCAAAAAGGCAGCCACAAAGTTTGTGCTCTGCGGTTTCATCATTTTCCAGAGGCGACACACACTGTCTTCCGACAGTCCGTATCTCTGTATGTGATGAATCAAATGACAGTGACCTGTGAGAAGGCCTGTTAGACATCGTAGTTCATCCTTACTATAGTCCAACTGTTTGGTATCAAGCTTCGAAGGGTGTGAAAGGTGTGGAGTGAGCCAATCCTGAAAGATTCTGCCTGTAGTCCATAAATCTTTTTGTCATCCAAGTGTTCAATCTTTGATTAGCAAAGCCTAAAGCGATGTCAATGATAGGTTCTGGTCCGATAAAGTTGCTTACAGCACCCTCCTTTGCAAGGAAGATAGCAGCCTCATTGCCTTCCAGGCCAGTATAGCCAGGAATCCAGACCAGAGACAATATGTTAAGTCTTCCTATCGAGGAGAGTCATTTTTGGCAATTGGGAAGGTGCACGGTAGGACCCAAGGGCTTCCAACGCCGCTTTACTGCCCGAAAATATTTTCATTAACTTGTGTATGAGGTTGAATTCTTCCAATCTCTCTGCATACAATTCAATAGCATAAATTTCCGCTTGAAATACAGTCGCATAGGTTCCTAGGCAGGTTGATATCTCTGTCCTGGGTCTGCGACTGAAAACATCTGCACCAGAACGTGAAGGTACATTTGATCCATCTGTGAACCAACAACTATCAGTCCTTTCTACTCGAGAGCAGTACTTCATAAGGCTGTTCGTAGTTGACAGTTGGAGGCATAAAGTCAGAGGTCATTCCCAGAATGCTATGACTTCGAGTATCAACCAACAGTCTGTTGTACTCTGCATTAGATAGATTTGTGCAATTGGCAATGTGCACAAGTCTACATGAAGCCAATCCAGCCTCTCTCTCCAGATAAATGTGAAGAGGAGGTAGATCTAGAAAGATCTCCGTGGCCGCTGTCGGTGTGGAACTGATGGCCAGAAAAGCCTGTCTCTGTAAGCCAGAGAGCTGCGCCTGTGCTGTTTCTCCTGTAAAGCCTTCGGCCACCAGGCAATTGCTCCATAAGTGATCATTGGTCTGACAATCATCACATGAATCCAATGGATTTGATAGGGACCTAAACCCCAAGTTTTACCACAAATCCTTCGACCATAGGGACAGTCTGGTTTTGTGTAAAAATTTTTCCAAGTAAGCGTTCCAGGTGAGTTTTTTATCAAGGACAATGCCAAGACACTTCACCTCCGTTCCAAATGCAATGACCTCACCATTGGGGGAAAGTTGCCTTAAATCGTCCAATGTTCTCCTCCTGGTGGAGAAAATTATCACAGTTTTGCTGAGAAGAAGAAGAAGAAGTGGAAGTGGAAGTGTTGATGGTTTTATTGTGGGTGGTTTATTCATGTTTGAGTCGAAGCATTCTGACGGTTACCATAAAGACATGAACGAAGGTGAGTTTGAAGAATATTTCGAGCAAATGGTAGACCTCATTCCTCCTGACTCTGTGATTGTGATGGATTATTTGAATTTGAATTTATTCACACAAGTTATACAAAAATGTTATGAAAAGTAATGTGTTGCAAATAAATTAAGGTGAGTCACAAAAAGTAAATCTTGAGCGTGAGATGCTTAACTAAAATCTAGGCATTTATAGGCATATACACAAATATATAAGTACATACACAAGAAACACAATCACAAAAAGGAATAATACTTTTCTGAATCTACTCTCGCCAAATTCGAGAAAAGGGTCTTGTTGATACCGCCAGGAAAAGAATACGGAGATGATTTTCTGAAAATGTGCCCCACTCGGGAACAAGGAGCTATTTGTATCCTCCCGCCGCACTGCCACACTCTGAAGGACATTTCCAAGTTTTCTCCTCCCCAGACGTTCATATTTTCATCGTAGGCGCCAATTTCGAAAAAGTACTTTCTGTCCATGGCGAATAAGCCTCCGGCCATAGTTGGAGAGTTGAATGGTTGCGTTGCGTCGTTTCTTCGCAGTTTCATTTCTCTTCCTCCCAAGGTGTACCATCTGAGAAAAAAAAAGTTGAGTAACTTTTTTTATTATTTTTTTTAACACGCTTTCATTAGCTTCACTTTTATGTATGTATGTTTGTAACTCTCAAGTTTGGGATCTGTATAATAATGATAATAATTCATTTATTGACTACGTTATAAGAAAAATTATTTGTAGCAGGTCAATTACAAGATATATGTGACAATCAAAGCACCTTATCAAATAAAAATATGAGATGAATATATACATACATACATATATACATGCACATATACAGACACATGTAAAAAACAAATATACAGACAGGATATTACACAAATAAGATAAAAATAAAAAAGTATAATGAAGAATTATTGTGTCAATATATAGTCGGTATCTGAAAATATTCGTTTACTGTGTAGAGACTGTGAGCTATTAAAAGTTTTTTATCTTGAATTTAAATTCGGCATAACTCAAATTTTTATGTTACTCTGGCAGAAAATTATAAAGGTTCAAATTTAAACTGTTTCGAGATGAAGTCTCTAATCTAAATCTTTTATTTAGAAGAAAAGAACCATGCCTATATTATATGTATGGTTTGTGTCACTTTTAGGATATGTATGGCAATTTCTGTGAATCTCCAGTAAACTCAAATAAATATAAATAGAAGGAACTAAAAGTAATTTCGGCAAGAATCCCGAAGACCTAAACCGGCGACTATTCTTACAGCAGGTTTCTGTAAAGTCATGATTCGATGAGCATGTGTAGAGTTGCCCCATAACACAGTTCCATAAGATACATGAGAATGGAATGATGAGAAATATGAGATCAGAAGCACATCCGTACTAACTGATTTTTTGAGTCTCCTTAGCAAAAATAGTTGACTAGATAGTTTTTTTGCTAGGTAGTCAAGATGTTCTGTCCACTTGAGGGACTGGTCTAAGATTATACCTAAAAGTTTTACGGAGTCATGCTGATTCAATTTACTGGTCATAGTGAAGGTAATTTCCTGAGTTTTTGTCTCATTTTGTGTTAGTTTATTCGGTATCAGCCACTTATTTATATTTGCCAAAATTGACAAGTTTTTTTTGTTTCAAATTTATTAAATTTGAATCGGAATGATAAAATGTAGCATCGTCTGCGAATAAAATACAATTAATGTAATGAAGATGTTCAAATATATCATTAACGTAAATAATGAAAGGAAGTGGCCCCAGAACTGAACCTTGAGGTACACCACAAGTAATTTCCTGACTAGAGGATAATGTTGAACCATGAAAAACCGCGTGAACTCGTTGAGTTAAATATGATTCGAAAAATTTGCAACAGAATTACCAACATTATTGCTTGATGTATTCACGGGCAGATGGCACTGTGCGTAACCTCCTTGATATAATTCGAACTCACTTTACATGTATTTCTTCATTTTAAAAAAGTATATTTTTTTTATCAACACGCGCGCCTGCTACCTTATTTGTAACCCTCCTTTGCGCGCCTGCTGTTTTCCTTGGGCTTGGTATCTGATTTTCAGGCTTCCTCTCCGGAATCGGAAAATATCAATGGTCATTTTCCTAAACAATGTACGACTGATTGATCCCAAAGTTTAGATAAAATAAATATAGTTTAAAAAGACTAAAAACATGCTTTTATAGCATACGAAACTAAAAAATGAAAAATAAATATAGTTTCAAAACTTAAAAACACGCTTTTAACGAACATTGAACTGAAAAGTTAAAAATATTCAACAAGTTGAATCCTATTGGTTTTTTTCAGATTTTGGGAAAATGAACTATTTCTGTGTGGTTAGATTGTTATGGTTTTCACAGATTATATGAAACACATATTTTTGAATCGTCTGCAAACGAATGTTCATCTCAGAAATAGTTATTAGAATCACTGTAGTCTCTAGAAGTTATTATAAATAGCACAGTGGCACAGAAATATATCATCAGATTTATGGGAAAAGAAGGTATTAGCTTTCTTTTTTATACAAAAAAAGTGGAAATCTTTCAAAGAAATAAATAATCAAATCATTTAAACTCTCCTGCAGAGAAGTTACTTTCAGACTGGAAGAAAATGCCCTCTAGAAACAACTACTTTCATACAAGCAATGAGTTACACAAAAGGAATTACACTTTCGAAAAAAGTACTGTTATATCAACATAGAAATCAATAAAAAACACTCTTTTCTAGTCAGTTTGCACTCCCACCATTAATGGAATTGAATCAGATATCATTCATAGGATTGCTACACGCTATAGTATATGACAGAAGGTGAATCTCCAGCGAATTGAATCCAATGTAAATTACTACTTTCGCACAAGCACCGCTCTTAGAACGCCTTAAGGATTTTCCTGTAGTGCTTGTGATTTGCCTACAAAAAAATTCACTCACATGGAACACTGTCACCCTCAATGGCGTGCATTCGATGTTTCGGAATGAAACTCAAATCATTCATGAAAGTACGAGTTTATGTCACGAATGGGTTGAATCTACTCATCTACATCGCTGAGTTCAATCGTCCTATTGAAGATAATCACTTGGTGATCGAAACACGTATCGAGGTATTAAAATAACGGTCATAATCATAACGTTCGTAATCAGAATGATTACGACCGTTATGATTATCAGTAAGAATGATTACTGACATATTAACGTCCATACATTGAAAACCCGAATCAGTTTAACAACAAAATGAAAAAACTAAATGAACCTTGCAACAACGACGAACTTCTGGAGGTGTATTCATTTATTTTTCTGGTAACAGGCCAATGCGGGTACTTACTGATTCAAGATATGACATTGAAGTCTCGTATTCATCAAAATTATGAAATTTGAATAATATTTCGTTCGAATCGATAGAGCGAAAGATTCGAAAAAAAATGGAAATATGTCGAAGTGACAGTAGACAGTCCAAATTTCAAGCCAGAATAAAAAATCGAAAACCGAGAAACTTCTCTTTTTTCTTTTCTTTTTTGGCATTTTGAAAATTTCTAAAATAACTTACTTTTTGAGGATTTTCGAAAAAAAATTCAAATTTGACAGGTTTAGAGTAGCACATGACAAAAAAAGAGGTTATTTTTTATTCATTTTTCAAGCACAAACTAACTGCGAAGTAAAATTTTCATTATGTCCAATAATGATAAATATAGTTTAAAAAACTAAAAAACACGCTTTTAAAGAACATCGAACTAAAAAGTTGAAATTATTTTTTTAAATAAGCTCAAAATGATAACGAACGAAAAATATTAGTATTATTGTAAAAAAAGCGACAGGCACTTGATATACAAAAAATATGGCACAAAGCGCCCACGATTTTTTCACAATAATAATAATAATAATAATTATCACTTCTTTCAATTCATTTATACTGATGTGGTGTAATGAAAAAGTACTGTCTATATAGATATCACTGAGATATTCTAGGGGATCGTGACTAGGTACAATGTTTTGAGTTTTGTTGCGAGGGAGCAGAAATAGCTGTTCAGAAGGTTCGGATTCAAGGATAATAATAATGATGACGTTTATTCGTGATAAAATAAAATCGATACAATAATATAAGAGTTGGGTATAAAATGAATAAACATAATAATATCCACAGAAGTATCATACATACTTGTTTGTGGAATTACAATAGAGACAGTCATGAAAATATAAAATATAAAACTGAGTGTAGAATAAAGATATATTAATTAAAATTATACCTGATTGATTTATATTATAATAGTATAGATAAACTTCAGTAAACATACATACATTTCAATATCTGCAGAAAACTTATGTCCATACTAGTATTTTCAAAAGCGTGTTTTTTAGTTTTTTCAAACTATATTCATTTTATCTAAACTTTGGAATCAATCAGCCGTATGTTGTTTAGAAAAAGGACCATTGATATTTTCCGATTCCGGAGAGGGAGCCTGACAATCAGCTACCAAGCCCAAGGCAGCAGGCGAGCGTGTTAATGAAAAAAAAACTTTCTTCAAATGAAGAAAAGAGGTTAGGTACAGCGTCATCTGCCCGCGAATAGATCAAGTAATAATGTCGATATATTAAGGAGGTTGTGTACAGCGCCATCTGCCCTCTAGTAGATCAAGCAATAATATCATTATTACAAGGAGGTTACGTACAGCGCCATCTGTCCGCGTATAGAACAAGCAAGGAGAGTTACAAACAAACATACATACATACAGGTGAAGCTAATAAAAGGGTGTTAATTAAAAAAACTTCCAAATGTCGCGAAATTTATATGTGACACTATAATAAGACACAAGTTTTTGACTGACGATTGTTATTTCATATCAGTGCTGTTAAACTGAAACTGAGTACATACTGATTACCTAAACTGAAGATTCCAGTTGAAAGCTCCCCAATGCAGTTCGAAACTTTTCACATAAGCGAAAGTGTCATCATTTATAATATCTATCACAGGGCAAACCACAGCTTTCCTATCCTCGTGTATCACAGATAAGAGCGGCTCCAACCAACCAATAGTACACTCGCAATGGGCGTCCAAGAAAGTCAGAACATCCCCTTTGGCTGCTGATGCGCCCTTCAGTCTTGCTTTTATGAGCCCTATTCTTTCAGCGTTTCTAATGATCTTGACTTTTACAGGTAGGGTTTTTATGTAATCGTCTAGAGGCTTCCCTAGGAAGGCTGGAAAATATTCGGTTATGAAAATTATCTGTGAACATGAAAATTTATGGATAATTACATATTTTAGAAGGTATATACAGTCTGTCACAGAGTATTGATTACAAGGGCTATTCTTTAATTGATAAACAAGAAATAAATTGGATTTACTTAAATTGTGTACCCTATTTAGTACCAGAAATTCATAAATATTCGGTTATTTTAAAAGTTTTGTCTGTTGCAATGTCATGTGTTTCTGTAGATCCATACCCCAATGAATATTTATTCTACCGTGTCGTATGAGGGTGTAACATAAGTACAATAAAATATTCAAGTGACGTATTCCTGAGACACTTTTAACAAAAAACTCTATATGAACTTGTGTCCGAAAATGCTCCGTTTCGGAGATACGGGTTGTTTTTTTGTTCGCTTTTTGAAAATGACTCTTTCAAAAAATAAGTTACTTGCACAAAATTCGGTACCCGGAGTTTTTTTGACGTGGGAAGTCATAATTTCGTATTAATTTTCATGTAACATCTAGAGAGCGCTGCGTACGCTGTCATTATTAAGTCGAACAACATCCGCAAATTTCATCGAAAATCCTCTTCACAGATGAGGTAAATTTTTTCAAGAAATGGTATCATGAACTTCCATAACAACTACATCTGGGTGTAAGATAACCCACATGCGATAAAGCAAACGCATTTCCAAGACATATTCTCTTTTAATGTATGGGTAGGCATAATTGGGGATTATTTTTTGGAACACGAGCTTCCCCAACTTATGGAAGATGTTCCCATTGGTCTCAGAAATCACTCTTGGTTTATGAACGATGGAGCTTCTGCTCATTTTAGTGTGATAGCAAAAACTTTTTTAGACGTGGCATATCCCCAACAATGGATAGGAAGAGGAGGCACTAAGCAGTGGCCCCCGAGGTCACCGGACCTCAATTCCGTTGATTTTTTTCTTTTGGGGACACCTAAAATCACTAGTTTATGCTAGCCCAATTGAAAACGAGGAAATGTTGAGGGATAGCATCATAGCTTGCTGCTAAACGACAAGAATCACTCCGTGCATTTTTCAACGGGTGCGGAATTCTTTGATGAGGAGAGCAGAAGCTTGTATTACTGTTGGGGGTCGTCACTTCAAACAGTTGTTGTAATTGTTTTTTTTTTACAAACTCCGAAATGTAGCACTTTCTAATTGAATAATTAAACCTGATATTTTTTTTAAATTTGGATTGAATAAGCAGTTCGATAATGTTCAATTTAGAAGAAGTCTGTACGGGTATACTGTGTATGAAGTTTGATGTAAATAACTAAAATTGTACGTTTTTGTAATGTTCGCACCAATTTCACTTAGCGCCCAAGGAGCTAAGTAATGTGCATCGACATAGAAAATTGTAAATATCTCGGAAACGATCACCTCCAGCGTTGTTGAGGTGTACCTTTTTTACTTGGAAAAGGTGTGGGAATTAGGTTTTTTAATGAAAAGTACCAAAAGTTTACTGTCAAAAAAGTTAGGGCAATTTGAAATAAATAATGACAGCGTACGTAGCGCCCTCTAGATGTTACATGAAAATTAATACGAAATTATGATTTCCCACGTCAAAAAAACCCCGGGTACCGAATTTCGTGCAAATAACTTATTTTTTGAAAGAGTTATTTTCAAAAAGCGAACAAAAAAATTCAATTTCAACACCCCGTATCTCCGAAACGAATCATTTTTTGACACAAGTTCATATAGACTTTTTTCTTAAAATTGTCTCAGTATTACGTCACTTCAATATTTTAACATACTTATGTTACACCCTGTATACTGGTCGATAAAAAATTTTGTACTCTATATATCTGAAAATCTCCCAATCCGTTGACAACAAGGAGATTGCGGTTGCTGTATTTCTCGATATTGAAGGAGCATTTGACAATGCACTACCTAAATCTATAAGATCTGCCTCTGGCTAGGAAAGATATAGAATCTACCATAACTGGCTGGCTCTATGCCATGCTGGTAAACAGAACTGCACCTACTACTCTTCAAGGCTAGACTATTAGGTTCAGGGTCACCAAAGGCTGCCCTCAAGGTGGGGTACTATCTCCCCTTCTGTGGTCACTCCTGAGGGATAGTCTGCTTGATGCCCTCGACAGAAGAAAAGTAGTTCTGCAAGCTTATGCAGACGATCTTGTCTTCTTGGGTAGGTCCACATCGAGAAGGGTAGCTTGCAATATCCTCCAAAGCACGATGAAAGTCGTTCACAGTTGGTGTCTGAGGGAGCAGATGTCTGTCAACCCCAGCAAAACTGTGATAATCCCCTTCACCAGGAGGAGAAAATTGGACGATGTATCGTCAAAAACCGCATGCATGGTTAATTTNCAGGCAATTATTAAAAGTTACGCCATTTTGTAGTAGTTGAAGATATTGACATTATATTCTAGGGTTGTGAAGCATTCGTCAGGAGCTTCGAAAATATGTGTCACAAGATCCCCCTTTCCATTTATTTTTTTCCCAGATGGCGCTCAGTCGCCATTTTGAAAGTTTCATCTATCAATTTCACTTCAAAAGAAAGTAATCATGCATAAATTTCATTATATCAAATTGCAACTTTCAAAAATTAAAAGGGGGGAGACATTAAAGCAATACACTGTATAGTAATAAGCTGGAAAGAGTAAATAATTAAAATTTGGAAAAAAAGAACACCAACAGTGTATGATCATTATACACCACGAGACAGTAAAATGAATATTGAGATATGGAACTAAGAAACACATGACATCAGATGAACAAAACTTTTGAAAGAACCTTATATGAAATCCTAGTCATCAACAAATCATCAGCAAATCAACAAATATACCATAAGTATGATATTCAATTACCTCTTTCACTGGCATCATCCACTAAAATGATTTCTTCTACCAGCTCCTCAGGAGATCGGTTTATGACACTCCATACCGTTCTGAGTAAAGTGGACCAAGCTTCGTTATGGAAGACAATTATAATGCTGCTTCGGGGGTAGCTCTGGTAATTTTTAAAGAGCATAGTGCATCTTAAAATAAGGTTCTATAAAATAAATCATAAAGAAGAAGTGATTTTTGAATCGTATTCTTAGTAGATTACGAAGACATACGTTTCTTCTACGGCTGCGATAAAAATTATCGAAGAAGAGGGAGCAACGTCTCTTTTCATGGGGTGGAACCCGAGTTGAGAACCACAAATGGTGGAGTGGATGTGTAGTGTGAAGACAACTGAAATAACGACTGCACTGCCACGCCCTCTTTGATCATGTTTACCGCAGTTGTAGGCGAAACGTTAGTGATAAAAATATGTTGATCACGTCTAGCAAACTCAGAACTAGCTTTGATGCCACATTAAACGTGTTTGAATGCTCCTCGTATGGCCTAAAATTATGTAACGTGAGACGCGATGGACTGAAAATGTTTAAATCTCATTTCAAGATTATGAGGTAGAGCTCTGCTTGGTGAGAAATTAACTTTGAGGAGGTTTTCAGTTTTGATGAAACAAGTCGGCCTTGACGGTGGAGCGAAAATTATTTTTCCTTCGGGGCGCTCAGAAAAGTTGTTTAGGATGGAAAATTATGGTTTTATACAAAATTTCAGGAAGATTCAGCTCAAACGGCCATTTTTGAGATTAATCATCGGCTCAAGAACCAAATAAGGCTTGGGATGTGCAGTTTACTCCAGATCCCTATGCCTAAAGATTAAGTGGGGAATGGAAAAAAATACAAGCGTGGCCAAACAGAAAACCGGCTGGTATCTCAATCGCCACAAAAGAAATTACTAGGAAACGAATTCCTGGCAAAAATATAACAATCTGCACTGATAGCAAATAAACCCTATTAACCTTGAACAGACAACGTGTTACCTCAATGCTAGTACTAGAGTGCCACCAAGTGTCAGCCAAAGCCTCGGTAGATAATACCAATATCCTGAGGTAGGTTAAAGGGCACGACAGGAGTGAAAGTAATTGTATTGCTGACTCTTTATCCAAGGAAGCGGTTGGACTGAGAACCTACGGCCTAATGACTTCGACAATTGCGGAACTAGCCAAATGTTACACCCATGCTCAATCCCTAAAGAGATAGGATGGAATCAAAAGATGCAATCTTGCCAGGATCACCCTGGGCAACCCTGGGAAGCTAGCGCCGAAAAAATATCTGGCGATGACCAGATAAAATCTACGCTTAACAATAGGATTTCTGACTAGCCACTGTCAACTAAGGAAACACTTACATAATATGGGGCTAGTGGACACACCTCTGAGCAGGATGTGTGAACAGGAAGATGAGACTGTCAGGCATGTCCAATGCGAGTGTCCGGGGTTATCGTCAACAAGAGAGTGTGTGTTCCGCGAGTCTTGGTCTACACCTACCTATATAAAGGAGATGTCTCCCAGTGACCTGTCCATCTTCCTGGAAAGGACAGGATGGACGATGACCTAGGAGGACAACTCCTCGGGATGATGTACAATTGGTCACATGTGGCCTAAGTGCTGTGGGCTAACACTCACCCTCCCTACTCTACAGATACAGATCTAACCAATTGGATCCTCAACAATTCACTGCGTTTAATCTCTTCAGTTCAGCAATAACAGAGACATCAACGATAAAAATTCATCCACTTCAAAATTGGTAGGGTTGTTAAAACACTATCAAAAATGAAATGTGAAAAATCCTAATCGAACCGATACCTGGAAAAAAATTTACTCGGGGTCAAAAGTCACAACAACGGGTTTTTCGCGATTTTCAGCAAAACGGTGACTTTTGTCATGAAATTAGTTTGAACAAAAATTGTAGATCGGATAATTATCTTTGTTCAATGATTTTTTTTCCTAAGAGCCACCAATTCTGAGATATAACGATTGGAAAAGTTGTACTCGTCAAAGGTCGTTATATCTCAGAAACGGTAGCTCTTAGGAAAAACGTGATCAGACATTTTTATAGATAGTTATCCAATCTACAATTTTTTTCTGAACAAATTTTATGTTGAAAGTCACCGATTTGTTGAAAATCGCGTTTTGTGACTTTTGTCCCCGAGTAATTTTTTTGCCAGGTATCGGATCGATGAGTATTTTTCAAATTTCATTTTTTATACTGTTCTGAACAATCCTACCAAGTCTGAGCTGTCTAAATTAAACGGATAATGATGGTATTGAGTAATACGTTTTGTTGATTTCATTTTTTTAGTAAATATTATTTCTTCTTTCTTTAAAAAAATCAAAAGAGCCTAAATCTTTCCGATATTTTGTAAACTCCTAGTTGTTCATCCTTCTCTCAGTAACATTTTGACACATTATGAAAAAATGGATACGTTACCTGAAAAACGCTTCACCATCAAGGCCAACCTGTTTTTCAAAAACTGAAAATATTTTGAAAATTTATTTCTCGTCAAGCAGAGATTAGTCACACAATCTTAAAATGAAATTGAAAATTTTTCAATACATCATCCCTTGTGATATTAATCCTGGATCCAAGGGCGGATTCTGATCTACATTTTGGTGTGATAATTTCTGAAATTTGGGGGGGGGATAATGAATAGGGAAAATAATGTATACATGACATAATGTGCGTGTATATATTAAAATACTACTCATCTGAACTGTATTGAGTATTGACTGTTGTGTTGATTTCTGGTTGGTAATCACTCTTATTTCCCCCCATAATCTGCCCTTGCCTGGAAATGTCTAGGGTCAAAAGGTGAGATGAAGTAATTGAGCAGAGAGATTGATAAATAACATGTATGAATAATATTTGAATAGAAGGCAATGTCAAAGGTGAGGGGAGGATATCTCAAAATTAACGGTAAAAACAGAACTAAAATGAAGAATGCATAATTTGAAATGCAAATTGATGTAAAACATAGCAAGTAAAACTTAGCAAGTAATAGATCGTGTTATCAAAATTGATTTCTGAGATACGTTCCATGGTTGGTGACAGTTGACAGGTGACAGTTAGATGACAAGTGAAAGGTAAACAATGACACATAAAAAGGTGAACTAGAACATAGCTTACAGTGGAACAAAATACTGTCAACTCCTTTCTGACAAACGCAAAAACATTCCAGTTGTAAACTATAATGGTATATTTCCATTGTTTTGTGTAGAACATATATGCTTACTTTTTTCTTCTAAAGTCTGGTAAACTTCTGTTCAGAGGTATTCTATCACTGGCAAGTAAATTGAATTTGTTTATTTGAAAAAGTTGTTGCATTTGTACGAAGTCCTTGGATTGGATCACCACAGGATGACCATTTTTACCGGCTTCTCGTACTGGGCTGAAGTTATTGGCATTTATCATATCGTAGGTAGCATTCGGTATTTTATGTATCGGATTTCCTATGTAATGACCAACAACTACTCTTATACCATGTTTATCAACATATTCTTCCTGGTTCTTTTTCCTGAAATGAATTAATTTATCGCATACAGTACGGACGTGAATAATCCCCATCTCAAGATATCAAGATCGAACAGAACGTATGTGGAAAAGTTTTATTTTTAGTTCTTTTCAAATAGAAAGGGTGGTCTTGTGTCAACTCGTTCATTAGGTATTTCAATTGTCTATCCAATTTTTCTCCATTGTTCAAAATCTTTTTAGCCGTTCTCGATCAATTAGCACTACTTCAGTAAGTAGGCAGAAGCCTATGCCCCGCCCAACCACGAAGCCTTTTCAGTCGCTAACGTCCTGGTAAAGGAATGGATATGTCGATTCAGTGTCCCATTGGAGCTGCATTCGAACCAGAGCAGAAATTTCGAGTCAACCTGTTCCAAGAATTGTGTAAACTGTTGGACATTCGAAAGATCAGAACCACAGCCTTACATCCACAGTCCTATGGAATGGTGGAACGAATTAAAAAGACCCTAAACCGCCACTTGTCCAAGGTATTCTCTGACTACCAAAGAGACTGGGACCAGAACCTCCCCCTGTTTCTGTTGGCCTATCGTTCGGCCAAACCCCTGCCAGTATTATAATGGGCCGAGAGCTGCGGCCTGGACGACATCCATGAACTAGTCCGTCTGAACATCCGGAGTGCCAGCGATAGGATGAAGAAGGCCTATGACATCAGGGCGGTTGCTGGAGGATTCAAAACCGGCGACCTAGTTTGGCTGTACAACCCTAAGCGACGTCGTGGTTTATTATCATATGAAGTTGCGGAACTCGTGGGAAGGCCCGTACAAAATCATGAAGAAGATAAATGACCTCGACTACCGAATCCATAAGCCACCTCGAGGAAAGCCTAGGGTCGTCCATTTTAATAGATTGGCTCCTTATGCTGAAAATCACGACCAAGTTCGCGCCCTCAGATCACCAGAGCATGAAATGACGCTCCAGAAGTTCATGTCTTTATACTCGAACAGACAGAAGGTCGTACATGAGGTAACTCAAGAAGAGCTACGAGACCTTTTCAAGGTTCCAGTTGATTACGCATTAGCTCACTGCGTGGCAGAGTATCTCTAAATGTCTAGGGGTATCGCTGTGGTATTCAACAAAAATTCGATCAGCTCCAAACATTACGAGAAGAGAATCCAGAAGTCGGAGGAGTGCTACAGTTGAAGAAGGGTCAAAGAAACATTTTCTACTTGGTGAGCAAAAAGCATTCTCGAGACAAACCGTCCTATGAAGATGTCTGGAGGAGTCTTTCCAGAGCGAGGGACACGATGCTCGACCAGAATCTTGTGGACTTGGCAATCCCGAAATTAGTCTCTGGGCTTGACAGGCTTGATTGGAGAATTGTGAGAAGCATGTTGGAAACGATATTCAGATCCAGCGGCATCAGTATTTTGGTGTGCGGTAACCATCTTCCACGCCGGAGCATGGAGACTTCCATCGAACTTCACAGTGCAGATATGGGGAGTCCTGCAGGTATCGACACACGCCAAGGATGACATTTCGGGGAGAAACGTCTCTAAGAAGGGGGCAATGTAACGAATCTGAAGCCGCTCCTGACCAGTGGTAAGCCAACCGACTCATGGAACAAACACATGACATCACCGCGAAAGAATGCAGTCGGAAATCGCCAGTAAAATTCTAGTACCGAACCGACTAGAGAAGTCTAGAAAGGACCGTTACCGATATAAGCACGTCTTCCCGGCCCAAGAGGGCAGTTCAGAAAGTGAATCGAGCGGCTAAACAAGAAATTTAAATAGTGGAAATAAATTAAGCGTTAGTTGCTAAGTGTTGTAATAAATAAATTGGTTGGGATTAGTGAAATATAATTGGAAATGAATTTGTTTAAGACAGTTAATTTATTAATTTGTTACACTTCTTTTTATATTTTCACTTCCACAATCTGAAAGAATATGAAAATTGGAATGTGGAACAACTGGCCGATACTTAATGAAAGTCTATAACTCATTTAAGCAAAACTTTATAGTGAGATTTATAATGAACAGTTTGCAAAACCACAATATGTGTTTCACTATTCAATAGCATCTTCAAGTGTATGAAAATGCAGTTTTCCTAGATCATGGAAGGTGAAAATTCTCACGAAGAAAGTCAATAAAAATTTCCCCACATAAAAAATAACTTCCGTTCAAAATAGTTGCATTTTATAATTACCTATAAACGTGCTTCGGATGGATTTCATTCTGTTTATTCAAGTGAAACAATCTCCATATACCGAATATCACAATCGTTGCAAAGAATATAATTGCTGGCAATACTTTTTTACATCGTCTGACTGGTCCCGCAATCATACTGTTTGTTGTGTCTGAAACAAAAAAAAACTTTGTTAGAGTCTTCAATTCAGTTCAAGAATTGTTGAGTGGACGACATATCAATAACTGATAAGGTTTCGATCTTATAACCTTTCTATTAGTACACACTGAGAAAACAATATAACAACCCGGAAACTAACCAAAACATTGACGCCAGCCCTGAAAGTCTACATTCCTATAAATGACAACTTATTATCTTCTTTTTTAGAGAATGTTAATGAAAGCTTCTAACTAAAGTTGTTAGATAAGCAGATAGACATATACTTTATTGTCCAAGAAAATACAATTATATTGACAAAAATTGTTAAAAAATCTGGTATGTATAACACTTCATAGAATAAAAAATAAACAATTCAAAAACACATATACTCAGAAATACCTAAGTTCACATATCTAATAGATTTGAATTGAAGGGGTTATATTTTTAGGAGTGATTAATTTTTTTGGGAAAGAAAGTTTTTGGCTTTCTACTACTCCATCTGATACAAAAAAAGGGATGAGAGAATCTTCCAAAGAAAGGAAGGAAGTAATCAATTTGAAACTCTATACATGAATGTGTAGATCATGCAAAGAATTAACTTTCAGACACAAACTGAAAGAAAGTCCTACTGAAACAGCTACTTTCATATAAACATTGAATTACACGAAAGAAAATAATTCTTTCGAAACAAATGCTTCTATATGAACACTGAATTATACAGAAGATACTTTTCTCTACTCAGTTTGTATTTCAAACATTTGTTGTGGAATAAGAATCAGATATCATTCACATATCATTCAAAGTAGAACTCATGTATAGAGTTTCAAATTGATTACTTCCTTCCTTTCTTTGGAAGATTCTCTCATCCCTTTTTTTGTATCAGATGGAGTAGTAGAAAGCCAAAAACTTTCTTTCCCAAAAAAATCTAATAGATGAAATGTAACAATGAAAAATAACAACGTTGGTAGATAAAATAGTCTGTATAGTCCCTTTCAAAAAATGTAAAAAACAAATATACACAATTTGAACATAAGTTCACATGTCATGGCAATAAAATAAGATTATCACAGTATAAAATATAAAAAGTATAGGTGTCAATATAAACAACAAAAAACACATGTATTAAATCACAGCAAAGTTCCATTGTATTATTCATCAAGATTGTAATACGCTTTTGTTGCAAGGCCATCTTTAACAAGATTTCGGAACTTTTTATAGCTTTAGTTGTTGATCGAAAAATCCCCAGAAAGCAACACCATATCTCAGGTGGGACAGAATCAGGTTGACCAGATATACCATCAGCTATCTATCAATTATCAATCTGAAACCCTGACTTGAAAATTGCTTCCATGAAAAGATAATGTAGTCCGGTTCTGTGCCACTTGTTTAAATAAATACAAAGAAGATCCCTTCTCTTTCTCAAAAACCGTCCGTTGCTAGTTCACTTAACTGATAATAGATGCCACGACTTGCATAAAATTGAAACATAAATTTATGAATTCATAGCACTTAAATATTTTGTCACATCACATTTGATTTAGTCACTTATGATCAATTAGTAGGTACCACAACCACTTGTACAGTTCTCAACGTCAGAAAAAGACTCACCTCATTTGAATACAAATATGCCCATTTCAAAAGTTGATAACATCACAGTTAGTCACGTTGTTTGTTCCATTCAACAGGTAGAAAGTCTTGTGCTCAACAGACTGACCATGAACTCGTCTCGGTCCGAGAATTACCTTCCACTTCCATTAGTCATTAGTATTAGTACTTGGTACTTCGACTATCTTCTGACAATCACAGACACTGTGTGTGGTTTGATGATATGAATTACTGAAATCTGTCAGAAATTAATGAGATGAAGATCATTTTATGACTTAACTGTATTCATGTCAGCAAAAAAACATAAAAATACATTATCACCTTTTGTGGAAAAAGTTTATCATATTATATAACCCCTTCTTCGCTGATTCATGAAGTTTTTCAATTCACTCACATATCTACGAGGTCTATTCAAAAAATAAAGTGAATTTTCGTTTTTCATTTGATGAAGCTTGGCGTGCTTTTTTTCGTCTTGGTTCTCAATTGGGATGATTGTACAATTATATACCCATGATTTGTGACCAGTTATGCCCCTTTAAAGCAAATCTGAATCGCCATTGACGTCTTGACAACAATTTATGATCGATGCTCATTCGACGTTTTCTTTTTTAAATCAAAATTTAGTAATTTTGGAACGAACGTCGCTGCAACACTTTTCATGGGCGAAATTTACAAAATAATTGCATGGCATGAGTCAACCCATATGCCGAAATCCTCAGTAATTTCTCTAATAGTGATTCAACGATTCCCCATAACAATTTTCTTCACCTTCTCAACATTTTCATCAATTGTTGAGGTGTTGGGGCATCCAGGGCGATCGTAGTCATTCACATTATCTCGGCCTTCTGTGAAAAGCTTGTACCACTTGTATAAACATTTTTCTGACACAGAGTACAAACACTGTATGCCACTGTCAATATTTCAAGTAGTATTTTTTAGCACTTATTTCCATTTTTTACAAAACTTTATGTAAATTCTACGTTTCATTTTTTTCGATAGCAGAAAATCACCGAACACGCAATACACTTTCAACATTTATGCCTCTCACCAACAAACTAAACACGCTAAACAGCTGAAATTGTGAAAATATGTTCGAGATGAGTGTACCAACATAAAAAATTCGCTAATCGAATGTACTTACGTAGCCCGCTGATTTTGAACATTCACCTTATTTTATGAACAGACCGCGTTCTTCGTCAGCTTTGTGACTTTTTAAATCATTCACGGTCCTGCGATAGATCTTACACTTTTCATTTTTCAAGTAACTATTTCACGTTACTTTCTCATCATTGTCATCTGGTCCTAGAACTTCAGCAATTTTTTTGAAATCTAACTAGTATCCCCCTGCAGTTTTGCAGTTCCTGAAAATATTGTTCAACCTATTCAACACTCTCATATTGTTTTCCAATCATCCAATTTCAATAATTTCAGTCGGTTCCAGTAGGTACTTCATTAGCATGACAACATGGCTATGGCTGAGATTGAATCAAGTGAATGAATATTATTGCTTACCGTCATCGATGAGATTAGTAGATATAAATCATTAGTGACATAAAGTCGTAATTTTTTGAATATATTTACTGTCCCTTATGCTGAGGCCGCACTAATGTTTTTTCCCGCAAGTGGTAAACCGTCAAACCACAAAACCGGCCGAGACGCACACACTGTGGCTAAAAACCACGAAACTGGTCACGATTCACAGTTTGAAGATGGTTTTCTAGAGAGCTGTATGTATTGTTGCTCTCATACTAAGAAACAGAAAAGAAAACGTCATCAGAAATTTCGCACATATTGGGTCCATCCACTGATTAGCCAAAGATTTAACAAGATTTAAAAATTTAGCATATTGAACTCAAAATCAAGCGATCAAAATCCGGGGCGGTTTAGTCGTAGTACGGCCTAAGCCTTAGTTTCCTTCAAAACAGATTTACATTTATTCATTTACATTTCGTCAACTTGACAATATTCAGTTTTACTTTTTGAATTAGGTTTTGTTATCTTTCAATCTTTCAGAATTATCTGTTGGAGGATTGATTTTGGGATTTTTTCGACGATTTAGTATAAACCGAAAACTAGAAAAAATAAAACAAATCTGCATATTAATAAACATTTTATTGAATTATATATAAATAGTTCCTAGTAGAATGAGAAGCTAGGACTAGCTATAACATACATACACAAGTCTTTGTACAAATTTACATATACATTGGAAGTATAGGTGTGTGAGATTATATTTGTATTATGATATGATAACATTTGATATTGAACTTTCGAACAATGCGACTTTAAATATTTCGACAATAGCTTGGCAATTTGTAAGAGTTATCTAGTAAAGAATGGCAGTATCAATTGGTCACAACAACGTATATGTTACTTATAGAATAAAATTTTCTGCCAACTTCCCTTTGAGGCTGAATTTTCAAAATTACCCATAATATACCGTAATTCATAATTTATTTAATATACCCTAAAACAGCATCCAAAACACTCGATGATTATTGTGCTACAGTTAACTCGATAAGAATACAAAATAACAATAGATTACAAGTTTTTATTGTCTAAATAGAGAAACTGACTTCAAACAAAAATAATAAATATTTGGTCCAAACTAAATTTATATACACAAGCTACAACAAAACAGGCAAATATTCGCAGAAAGTTTATTTATATGGTTATTATACAGCCTCCAACTCAACATTACGAACACGAAATAAATATATTTTCTGTACACATAAAGAGGTGTTCGATAATCAGAGAAAAAAGGCAAAACATTGACTGAGTGAACACTTGGTAATCATACATTTCAGGTAATTTCTCTTCTAACTTAAAAATACAAAGAATAACATCGCGTAAAGATACGAAATGCATGTAATAAACCTAGATAATACGATAAAAAATATACATTGAAATATTTTTTCGGATGAGTATTTGGAAATTCATGAAATATGAAAATAACAAAAATTGCAGTCTTATTTCTTAGGATCAGTTCTGATTTCAATATTATTGCTCTTCAGCACTAACTGTATCAACTGAAGATGTGAGCGATGTATTTGAAAACATCAGTGATGTAATCTGTGGTGAAAGTTCCCAGAATTAGCTAATGACAAAGACAGAAGATTGAAAAATAAAGTAATATTCCTCACTGATTAACTCAGCATTTTTACAGGTATCCCACTAAAATTTTGCTCTTTGCAAGAATGATTCTACTAGTAAAGTTGAATCCACTGAGTATTTTCAGTTGAATGAATACAAAACAATGAATTCGTAGGAAGGTCAAAAATGATTTTGAAAAAACACTAAAATCCGAGTTCAAAATTCAGAGTTTAAACTGACAATTTACCAAAATTCCGAGTTCGGAGTTAGAATTCAACGAAATTCCTAGTTAGAAGTTCGAATTTAATTTCGAGTCAAAGTCACAGTTTAACAAAAACTCTGGCATAAACATAAGAATTCAAAAAAATTCAATTCCGACTTCATTGAACTCGAAATTTCATCAAATTTTGACTATAAACTGGAATTTTTATCAAACTCCGACTTTGAACGAGGAATTTTGTTAAATGTTGTCTTAAAACTAGGGATTTAGTGAATTTTATGTTTGAAAAAATGTGTGTTTCTTTCACGCATTTGTACAAAACGATTTATGTATAAATGAACGAAAATGATTTTTCAGATAGGTATTATCTTATACAATTTTGAATCACGCCCAAAGCAGAAATGAAATTCAAGGAGGGAACTCAATAACCTACAAGATGTCCGAAAATCAAGCATATATCGCCGTTTTAACATAATTTGATATCCACTTATTCGTTTGTTGAAAATTCGAGTTGAAGATGTCCGAAAATCAAGCATATATCGCCGTTTTAACATAATTTGATATCCACTTATTCGTTTGTTGAAAATTCGAGTTGAAAATTCGAGTTGAAAATGATGAAACATACTTAAAACTGTAGCTAAATGGAAGCTCTTATTAAATTTTTCACACAGCTAGTTTATTGATGAGGGACATTCATTATTCAACAAGCTAACATTTAAAGGAAGTTTCTCAAAATTCTTGTCCATTTTGAGCTTGGAAAATTCTAATTAAATTTTCAAATTCGAACATTCTTTCAATGATTGAGATCCCTGAGTTTATTCAAGAAATTGAAAAAAAAGCATATCTGATCGAATTACTTGGAATAGTTCCAAGTATGGAACCAACATGTCTTATATGTACGATAATGCTAACGTATGGTACTAAAACTCATTCTTGCCCTTGGATCAGTTTTTCGCCAACACAGTGGATGCATAGATAAAAACACATACAAAAAAATAATGAATGGATAATATTGGATAAAGATTTCATTTGGCGCTCATGTTTTTATCAATGTTGGGTAATTAGTGTATTTTTCGTTAATGACAGCTGTCATCTGTAGATGATATTCGTATTAACCATATTTCAATTTCATTCGCTGTATGAAAATCGTTTTAATTTTAGATACCATTTCAATAAATAATTTGTTTGCAGTACTATTACTTTTTCTGAGTTGGCTACTCGGTGTTTGTCATAAGTGTCAATTGTCAAATGTAATTGATATTTATATTGTCCATTTTTGAGTTCTATTTGTCATTTTCATTATAATCATTATTCATTATGGGGTTATGAACCATAAAAATGACAACTGACGCTAATGACAAATGAACAAAGTAGCCAACTCAGGAAAAATACATGTGATCCAAAAGAAATCCTCATCCAATATGGTCTTTTGTAAAAAATATGATCAAAAAGTTTTTATCATTCAGCGTGAATAACTTTTTCAATACAAAATTTCCAGTGGATTTACCAGGAAACTATTCATAGCTTTGGAAAACCCCATTCTGGGACACCTTTCGTCGAATATTTAGTTACATATCGAGGTGCTGTACGGCATATAATTTCATGAATTTCCCGAACAACAGTGATTTGAAAAAGATTTAGCACCATACCACTTTTTTTCAAAACTCACTCTCATACTTTAATACAAATCGGTTTTTATTTTTCCATTTTCTGGCAGTAGCCTTAGCTGGTTGTTGAATCTTGGCACATCGAATACTAAAACGAAGGCACACTGTGCATGTTAACACTTTGTCAACCAAACTATATACAGGGTGGCAATGAGGTTAGTGAGGCGAAAAGTATGATAATTTTAAATTCTCAAAAATAATCCCGCCTGCGAGATTTCAACGTATCTCAAAGATTTATTTTCAGACTTTGTGTAATTATTAGTAATGAAGTAATAAATATGAGCACCCTGTATATAAAAGCCTTAATCTGTTAACATTCTGAAGAATTCTATAAATACCCGATCAAACAATTCTTCACTACAAAAACAGATTGGAATGAATCGTACATATTTATTTATTAACCTAAAATAATCGGAGTAACACAAATAGTTACTTTTGAAGCACAGCCTGTTCATCTGTTGCAGTTACAACTGTCCGTTTTGTGGAGAAATTATTGCTATTAAATCAAATATTTCAAAATGTTTAGTTGAAAGTTTCGAGTTCGGTAAAGTGGCAACTAAGGTAACATCCAAATATCGACTGAAGGTTGGTTTATCAAATGTTAAAACATGATTTCATAGATAATGTATAATTTTTATGCACATTTGGTTAACGTCAGTGATTTTGAGAATGGATATTTACACTTTTCGAAAAAAAATTATTGCATCAAAATTTTTTTTGGGTGAAAACTGCATTGACTGCTTAGTCATTAGCCTCTATTTCTGGGTAGGCAATGTTGATAACTCCTCCGGCCACCTACAGAGCATCATGACCATTTGCAGTCATCAGCCATGTAATGTTGCAAAATCATCACAATTTCAACTAGATAAATTCTCTGGAGAAAAATATTCAGTCAAGGTTGAGAGTGAACTCACGACCTTTCATTCGTGAGTCTACCATGATATTTCATTAGCTCTATAACAAAATGGTTCATTCACCAGGAAGTAATGCCTAAATTTTTCCATCAAACCACGTTCCAAAATAATTATGATTTTTGTAAAGCAAAAAAAAGAACATGAATGAATATACGACATAAGTATTCAATCAGAATTACTCAATCAAATATCTCTCTAACAAAATTCCAAATTAAGTTTCGTAATATGAAATGTTTCTTAATTTCTGAACTAACCATCCAATCGACCTCAAAATCAAGTTGTCACTGTCGAATGCACAGTCAGAACAACACGAATACATGAGAAGAAAATGAAACTATGGGATATGAATAATTTTTATGGTGTTACCAAGTTCATATCAAATGTTAGTGACTTCACGACCTTCATTTTTAATTGATTTTAAAAAAACTACTTTAAAAAAGTTGTAAAAAATATAAAACGAGATACTTTTATACATGTAGTTTTGATTTATGTGGTTATCCCAATATCAGTGTAAAGGTCCATACAATTCAAATGAGGTGTTCAAGCATTATCAATTCAAAAAAATGTACAGGTGACATCCGGACTGTATTATTTTAATAATAATTTGAACCACCAGAAAACTTCAATATAAAACTGAATCAATGGATAGGAATATCTACCATATTAAAAGAAATATGGTGGAATATGCAGCAATACCATTATCACTAAGAAGTTAAAATACTGTTCTATGGTTCTATGTCGTCTGTGACAAAGACATATATCTGTCAATATTTAAGCATTTTAAAATAGTTATACCATTGCTGCCTATAAAAAAGTTATAGAGGATATTCACTTTAAAAAGAGAACGACGTCACAAGATGACAAGTTACGGCGTTGCCAACATGTGCACTATTTCGAACTTTAATTTTTTTTGTACCGTTTATTTGTTTTATTGCTATTCACCTTACTTACTATTAACTTACTCAGTTGGAATACAACTTTGTTGAGACTGTTTCGACAATGCTTTAGGCATATTGAAGATACGCAGGTCATATCAAAAGAAATTAATAGTTCTGAAAAGAAAAGAAAGACTGACAGTTTTCGAATTTTTCTCTATTCGGCAACGTCTGAAATTTAGCTGTTGAGCAACTGGCAAAATGAAATTTTACCAGTTTCATTGCTACTGAACGCATTTCATTGGGAACGTTGTTATATTGGATATACAAAATTACCAAAAATGACGTCATTCTCTTCTTAACTTGTTACTTGGTCTGTAAAACGACATAGACATAAGCACCTAACTTGCCTATTTTTGGTTCATTGTACCCATAGTTGGGTTATATTTTTCAAACTTATATTTGTAAATGTGTTACACGTTTCAAAACTCTTTGTTTCATATGTGTTCTACGAAAACAAATTTCATTTCAACCTAAAAAACAAAAATTGCAGCTTGGCACGGTATTTCATGGAGTTGACAAATGTTTTGTACACCTGGAAAATTGAAATATAAAGTCATGTGGGCCATTTAAACATAAAATGAACGATTATTAATTATAGAAGTAGTAGGTGTCATTTTTCTTATGGATTATCCAATAAAAAATTACTATGAAAACAACTGATAAACCAGCCTTTGTACGGAATAAATTGTGCAACCAAATCGGGATATTTACAAAATCACAGCAAAAGTTGATTAACGTCGAAGATTTTTGGATATTTGATTTAAATAGACAACATCTTATGAAATAACATCGCTAAACTTTTGATTTATGTCGATACGACTAATATCTATTGAATTTATCACAATTTGCAGATACGAACATTGATCTAGGGTCACTTTGCCGTCTTCAAGTAACGAAGAACAGCGTAACCACTGACACGCAGGACGACGAAGAAGCACAACAGAATGAGAGTGTTTGCCCAAAGCGGAAGATATGATCCCTGAGCCTCTAGTATGGCACTCACTGGTATGGTTTCGGCACCTTTTGAACATATTTCGAACTTGGATTGGGATCCGCACCTGAAAGGAAAACAGGGTGAAATACAATAGAAAATTAAATATTTTGTTACTAAGTACTAATCCTAATTCAAGCCCGTTGCTAATTCAAACCAAGGTTGCTGTGGTCTTGGGCTTGTATTATCAATTACAATTATTGCAGCATTGGATTGAAATGCTCATTTTTAATATAGTTCAATGCAGAGAAAACAAAACGAAGTACTATTTAGAATTCTGGGATTAACAAACCAAATGTTGAATTTTATTAGTTCAGACTTCCATAGTCTAATATGTTTGTAATGTGATTTGTAATCTCTGAAAGAACAAATAAAATTAAAATAATTAAATACAAATTTCAATCAGAATAATGAAAATTTCAGGCAATTATATGAACACTATGTCTATATCTCAAAATTCAGTACACTAGATGTTGAGAATTTTACTCAGTATGGAATATTATCAGTTCAGCTTTTTTTCCCGGAAAGGAAACTCAGTTTAATCAAAATTGATTGAGTAGGATGCCATATTCTCATTTACCTTCAACGTTATACAAGCCAGTTCAAAACCAAAACCCAAAGGTCTCACTGGTCGTGCTAAGCTGAACCACAAATGCATTGCTAAAGGACAAGCCAGAGTAAATAGGGGGTGATGATATCTTTCCTTACGAAAACGCCATCTATGGGACCGACAGAGAACTCAATCCTTGAATATCAAAGACAAACAAGGCTTCCCAAGGCGGTAAGTTGCAAAACCAAGGCAACTAGATAGCGTATTCATAAAGGGGTATGATATTGCCCCGAGTTATACAAGTTGTTTGAGTTTTCTTTTTGTTGGGTTCTGACATAAGATTTTGGCAGTCCCAATCAATCCAATGTGCACCATCTCTTATCTAGATATAAATAACCTATTTGAATAGATCATAATCAATGCAAATCCATTATAATTATTATTATTCTGAAATCATAAGGATGACAACTGGGTTACTAAAATAAATTTCGGTACAAGTACATACTACGTTATTTAATGAATGATACATGGCCCAATTTTCTTACGCAAGAATAACTGAACCACTCTAGCGATTTTTTGTGAAACCTGTGCTATTCTTGGTTGATAGTTAATGTCACTAGATTGAAATTTCAAAACTCATTTCAATTTCTGAGGTTTGACACCGAAAAAAACCTATCTTCAGCAATGGACTTCTTAGCATGTCCACCATGGAAATTGAATGTTAATTCCAGATAGATTCTTTATTATATTCTTAGAACCTAACCTATCACTCACTTGATTTCCATTCCTTCTCCGAATTCAACAATCTGCATGTTCTGATAAGCATAATGGACCATCGACAAATATCGCATCCACGTAAGCCACCACGGTATGTTTGTCGCCAGGAAACCGCTGAAAAGTTGCGTTGCGAGTGTATAGAGGGCGCTGATAGTGACGCTGGTCTCCATATCCATACAACACGCCCCAATGAAGAAGCCGATACTCTGAGCAACGAGGGAGTTCAGCAACAGAAATAACAGTTGAATAAAAAACACCATGATAGAATGAATTCCTGGAAAAAACATTAATATTAGGGGGTGTGGACTTTCATTGTCTAAAGAAGTATTGATGGATTTGTCAACAGAGAAGAGAATGAATTAGTTGAAAAGGAAGTAATATTAAAAAAAAGAAAAAATTAACCATCTGCATGAAATATAAAATTATAAAAACCCTGATTCGTATAAAACATATAATTGTGACCTAATATGTGAATGAATTGATAATATGGGTTGAGCAATAAGTGACGTATCAATAATATACAAAAAATGAAAATAAAAAACAGAATTTTACATTATAATCATTATTGCAGCTGATATTGTAAATAAACAATCAGATGGCCTGTTGAATATTAGATGTATGTTATTGAAAAAGCAATTTTAAGTATCCACGCCGGTATCCAGGCCAGGATTAACCTACCAACTCTCAGTGATGAAAATAATATGATCATAAAAATGTGTATTTTGTTAAGACAAATCAAATGCATATTGAGAATATCTAAAGTTAACTATTGTCAAATTAGGACAAATGATGAGGTAATATCACGCGTAATTCAAATGAAACAAAAACTTAAAATTATTCGTGGATCACGAATTGAAAAAAAATTAAATTTTCAGAATTTGAATCCAGATGAAGGAAATCCTAAAATTGAAATGGTTGAAATTTTTTAAACTGACTATATTAAATATTTTGGCAAAATAGATAATCTTTTGCAATTTAGATGTTAAACTAAATAGTGAAAAAAGAATAACTCCCAGAATAAAATTTTTGAAAAAATTCCTTGATTTAAACCTATCAAAATCAACTGAGCAAAATTCTGAAATAAGGAGGTGTAAACATTACAATTCGAAAGAAAAATTTTGTCAAGACTGAAGAAACATTTTTCTAGTGATATTTCATTTAACAAAAAGTAACAAACGAGATGGAAACCATTTATTCGTTAATTAAATATTGATTGTCGATATCAAAACACCTTGATTGTTATTGAAAACTTGAATTTTGATTTATACCTTTCTTATTATGTACTACAAATGTATCTCTATAATTATTATTTATCTTCTAAACGCTTGAATAACATTACATCAATCATTAACAAGAGTTGCCTGTCATGGCATTGAAACCGATTTAATACGTGTTTTGCCACATTTTTGTATAAGTAGGAGAAATACAAGCCAATTTTTTTTTACTCAAAATAGATTATCTCCTGAACACTATAGCCCTTTCAATTTTTGAGTTATGTTATGTTATGTTAGATGTTTACGGTGGCCATTTGTGAAGTATTATGTTTTAGAATGAAATTGTTTGTCGATCTAAATAGTCTTCAATTTTTTCGAATTTAAAAATTAAACTGTATCAAATGGACTGTAGCAACCCTTCAATTCGGTCAGCTTGGTTAGTTTGTAATGATAAATACACGTCAGGTCTTAGCGCTGAAACATTTTTGTGGGCCAAAACGGCAGCCAACGTGTTGATAGTTTTTCTACTGGTAGTAATTCCACTTGATTATAGTTCATTTTCATGATAGCACAAAAGATGATAGAAGTAACTGAAGGTACTTCAATCATAAAGGACGGAAGATATACGAGTGTGGTTTGAAGAGTTTCCGACCTAACAAAGATACAAGACATTTTTCCAGTTTTTTTTTTCAACATAGTCTACTTTCAACTCTACACACTTCTCCCAGCGAAGCTTCCATCTCTATAACCCGTTCGAATAGAATTCTGCGTTTTTCTATGCAAACTTATTGTTAATGAAGGTGATTGCCTCTTTATTTAACGAAAATCTCTGTCCTCCGAGCGCAATTTCCAGATGAGGGAACAAAAAGAAGTCGCTTGGGGCTAGATCTGGTTAGTGAGGCGGATGGTCAAGCAGTTCAAACGGTAATTCGTGAATTTTCGCCATGGCAACCGCTGAGGTGTGATATAGTGCGGTGTCTTGGTGTCTCTGCATATGTGGTCGGTTTTCCGCAAGTTCTGGCTTTAGCTTGTTCAGTAACGATGTGTAGTATGCTTTTGTTGTGGTTTTTTCTTTTTCATGATAATCGATTAAAAGAGCTTTCATGACTATCCCACAGTCGCCTTCACTTTCCCAGCCAAAAAAACAGTTTTTGATTATTTTGGAGCCGGTTTCCCTTTGCAGTACACTGTTTGGACTGTATTTTTGTTTCGGGCGTATCTCTCACTTTAATTCGGCGTTCGTCTAGCACCATTTGGTTGGTAGTTGCAGTTTTTGGACATCAAGTTTTTACGGCCACGTTTAAATTCAGCTGTTTTCTAAAATACACATAATCCAACTCATCTTTGATTTGCGTAGACGTATTGCGTTCCAAAAACTACGCGTCCAAAATAGCTGTAACTTTGGTGAGTAACTGTCAACAGGTGAACAACAGAATTCACTGACTTTTATTCACGAGTGCTGCCATCTTCATGTTGAGGTCGGAAACATTTTAGACCACTATTGTATATATTACATTTCATATGAAAAACTGTCCATCATAAAATGGAATGAACAAAATTATACTCACCCATCATGGGATAGGAAATAAGGAAATATACACCTGGAAGAGTTACAATCAGAGGTAGTTCGCCAACCATTTTTGCCAAATAGTACGCTGACAGTCTGTATGCACCAGAAAGTCTCTCTTTATTGATCACTTCACGTTCTGGAGGAACTGGAATAAATACACAATATAAGTCAACATGAAAGTTACAGCTGGATACAGTTCTATAGTTGTGGACAAAAAAATAATAGAAATTTTCAAGTATTCAAGTAAAATTTTTATTGATGCCATGACCGATGAAGGCCCAATAACAGATTCTTAAAGTAAAATTGTTAAAAAATCATTATGGTCCATTAGGACAACAAATTATAATAGTCTGTCCAAACATATAAAGAACAATAATTTTGCTACTAAATTCAAGAAAACTGTTTTCAAATAATTTATATCAATGAAAGAAAATTACCCATTTCTGGGTAACTGTAACATATTTTGGTAAAAGAAAAGAGATAATTGCGGGTTTCTTCAGAAAAAACAATGTGGAAGTGGCTGACCATATGCCAGGTTATCTGATTTCCTTTTCAATGCCAAAGATGAAGTGGACAAGTTGAGAAATCTGGAGTTTATAAGCTCAAGTGTCCGGAGTGTAAGTGTTTATGTGGGACAATGTGGTCGAAATTTTCAAAAACGGTATGCTGAACCTGAAAGGTCCTTCAGACTAGGAAAACATGATTCGACGTTTTCAAACCATTCTTTGGCATGCAACCACAAGTTTCCGAATGTAAACGATATGTAAATTTTGCACTATAGAAGAAAGGGTTACAAACTCAAATTATTTGGAATACTTGGAAATTGACAAACATTAACATTGCGGGTGCAACCTGTTGAATGATCAAATCGATTTAGTTTACTCACCGATTTTCAATTTGGCATATCCACATTGTCACAAGTAAACAAAATTCAGGTACTCAATCAAGCTAAGTACCTCTATTATTGCCTACAGTGGTGTTATATAAAAGCTAATATAATCAATCTTTGTAAGTTTAATATATAAGTTTGAAAATGTCCTTATAGGACGAAACTGCAGTAACGTTAGTTACAAATAAAAGTGGTGAAAAACAGAAAGTTTCAATTCACTTTTCTTCATTATGATTTGCTACCACGTAGTAACGGCTACATCCATCAATTTATTGAAAAAAGTAATTATTTCAATGAAAATGAAACTTTTTTGGGCTTCCTCTGGTTCTATTGAGCATTGAATAATTTTGTTGTCATTGTTACTGTTCCATAATCTTTCTTCTTTCAATTCAATAAACATGCATTTCATTTTCTAAGTATTATCAACTCACAAGCACTGAGAGCTCCAAAATGTGAAAACAGCATCCAGTAGGTGGTAGAGAAGAACATCCAACCCTGTATATCATGCAGCGACTCTTCCGTCCTATCCAACTGGAACCAAAGAAAACCTGCCATTATCCCCAATAGTACAGTTTGCACCCAATTCAGTTTGGACAACATTCTGGGCATCGCTTCTTGGAAGTTTCTTTGGGAGAGAACAGTGAATTGCGTCCAATAACTAGTAGGCCAGGTGAAATAACAATCTGCGTCGCTAGTTTCTGAACTGACTGAAGATGAAGCGTGAGAATGTAGTGAAGCTCTTTCTAAATATGAAACAATAATATAAGTTCAGTGTTTTAGTTCTATAAACAATTACATCTTTTTAAATGTCATATTATCCATGAACTAAAGGTTGCTGTGTCTGAAAATATTCAACTAAACAATTTTCATGTCATAATTTAAAAAAAAACATAAATAAATCAGATTGATATTTTTCTTCTACATAAGAGAGTGACTAAGATATAATGCAACACAAGAGGATAGTATCGATAAACTCCTACATATAAATTTTTCATTTGATTTCAACAATACAGTGTTGATTATAGACAAATACTAAGAAAATGTCTTGTACTGAAATTATTTTTTTCTTAACGGCAACAATATATCTTTCATATTTCAGAACATAGTTCAAATTTGGTTTAAGTAAAGTAACTGCTACTGACGACAGCATGACAAATTTTGATTGTAATGGAATATCTACGGGTAATATATTACATTAAGTGTACTTTTGACTATGAAGACTCTTCTTAAGTTTATGAAATCTTTGTCAAATATCCCACAAAAACGTAACACGTGTTTCGGTATACAATAACTTCTCCAGGCATGTGTATACTACCTTAGTATAGACACTTAGTAGTTAGAATAGACACGCCTGAAGAAGCTACTGTATAGTGAAACCTGTGTTGTGTTTTTGTGAAACTGTATATTGGAAATCTCACAACGAAGTGTTTCTTGAATATGTTATGGATTTTCATCAAGTATAGGCCGATGTCATCACATATATACTTCTAGTACTGATCAATATTTCAGGAATGTTCATCACCGTGCATCAATTCCATTAACTTAATGTTTCAAACGAATATGAATTTACTCACGTTCCAAACTTGAGTATGGTCCATGAGAAGGCAGCAACATTTTATTCGAATTATCATATTTTTCATTAACGTAACAATCGTGCTGTAGTTCTATAGGGTAATCCTTGCTTTTCCTTAGTTCTTTGGCCGCAGCCAAAAGTCTTTTTCGTGTGTCGGAAGTTCCTTTTATTTGTTCCACTGAAAAAATAAAAAATAAAAATCAACTTCAAGACAAAAGTATGCTATTTCATTTCTATTCTATTTCTTAAGGTAGCTGCTTATAATTATGTTACTTTCTATGTATTATTTAATTTGAAATAGTATTATCATCAATTCGAAAAATGCTCTGTTTCTCACTGTTGTCAAAAAAAGGCGAATCAATATCAATAAATATGAGGAGATATTCATCATTAATTTTTTTTTTGAATCAGTTCCGTTGATGAAATTAATAAAGAACAAGAAAAAGAACATCAAATATTCATATTTTACTTTGTGGAAGATAGAACTGAAACCACTGATGTATAGTGAATCCACTATACCCAAACATCTGAACTGCAGCACTATTATCAATTCTGGTCATGGAGTTTTGGTCTGGTCTACGTCCATGGTTCTGGTGTCTTAAAACAGTGTATGTGTTTTGTGTTGAATGTATTTCATTGAAATTTACATTTCACATATAGTCAGTGGGCATACTTGAAGATTGAATATGCGGTTGGTTACCTCATTCACAGGCTGATGAGGCGATGACAAATCTATTGTTTGTTGTCCACTTCAGCCTAGTTCGAGGAGTGATACTCTGAAGGAATTCAATTTTCAACTATCGGAAATCATCGACTTGATGTTGATGATAGACACTACCTTTCACTGACTAGTGGCCAAACATCCAGAAACCGGTCTGCAAGTGTGTTCCAATAATTGAAAATCTATTGCGGCAGTTGTATCACCAAAAGCAAATGCAGAAATAACTTCAGTGAAGAATCCTGCACTGACACATGTCGGATATAATCCAACGCTCTTCGTGGTATTAGCCAGGGAAGTAGTTATTTTCTGATGGGTGTCAGTCCACTAACCTACAATGTAGGAAGTTGAGACTGGCCTGAATAAACTGTTCCTTTAGATGATTTGAAATTTACATTATTTGGTAGATTCTTCTAGGTATCAGCTATTATATTACAAGGAATACTACATCTACTAAGTCTATACTCATTTATTACAATTTTAAATAATATCCTGCTTATATAATGACGCCTTTCAATTGAATTCGATAAATAAATTCATACTTTCATTGTTATTTACAGTTTGGGCCCGAAGACATTCTACCCGAAAAGATGAAATACTCACATATAAAATCGGCAGGATTGTAATGTGGCATAATATTAAGTCCTACGCTGCTGAAGAACTCAACAACTTTACAAGTGTCACCGTGATAGATTGTTTGGCCTCCAGATAAAAGAAGAAGTTTATCACAAAGATGGAAAATTTGGGAAGAAGGTTGATGAAGTGTTATCACAACGGTCTTTCCTTCCAGAACTGCATAACGCTTTAAGGTAGTCATCAGACTATGAGCCGCATGCGAATCCAGACCGGAAGTTGATTCCTGAAAAAGTATATGAAATTCAAGTGACTCAAAAGAGGTTCAGTGGTTACAAGAAAACAATTATATTGAAATTAGCCTAAAAAAGCATAAAAAATGTAAAATTTGTCACCAACTGAATATCCCAGTGAACACATAACCATATTTGAATTGAAGGGGTTATATTTTTAGGAGTGATTGATTTTTGGGAAAGAAAGTTTTTGGCTTTCTACTACTCCATCTTGATACAAAAAAAGGTTTAACTAGCGACATCACATTAGAACCTCTGAAATTATCAGCGTTTCTCTACTATATTATGCATGTTATATACATATAAACCTTTCTCTTTACTCACTCTATCTATTAAAAAACCTGCATCAAAATGCGTTGTGCAGTTATACAGATTGAATTATACAGATACAGATCTATACAGATCCAAGCATACAGCATACGAACAAGCGACTTTGTTTTATACTATGTAGTTAGTATGATTTTGATTGAGAATGTAATCTATACAATATATAATCTATATCATCACAAAATAAAGAATAAATTATTTAGAGTCTTCCTTCTCAATGATTTTCAGGAAAATTCAATACCTATTTTCGAAATTTTAAGTAAAAAAATGGAAAAATTCGAATGTAATTTGAAGAAAGAATTTGCGTGTGAGGAATCATTTTTTATTTTTGGTAAATTTTGAAGTTATAACGTACATCGACATTTTAAAGTGTTTCAGACATTTGTCTGCATACTTACATAAAATACTATACACATCAGAGGGTCCAAGAAGGAACCCTGTGGAATTCCAGACAGTATACTGTATTCTTAAAAGATTTTTGCTACATATGTATCTCAAATTTGATACATTGATGAAATCGATACTTGAAAAAATATATACTCACATCCAATAACATTAACGAAGGATTAGTCAACAATTCACAAGCTATATTGGCCCTCTTCTTCTCTCCACCGCTGAGGCCTCTGTTGAGGTTGTCTCCTATGATGGTCTCTTGGCAGTTACCGAGCTCTAATACATCGATTATGTGGTCAACGTACTGCATTTTTTGCGAATGGCTCAATGTGTCAGGTAATCTTAGTCGCGCGCTATACTCTAAGGTTTGCCTTAACGTTAGGTCAGGGAAGAAGATATCTTGCTGGAGGACGTAGCAGATCTTCCTCTTCCATCTTTTACATAAAGGTTCCCTACAAAAAAATAATTTCGTATCATATTTTAATATACTGTTTACTGAGTTAATTCCAAAGTAATTGTTATTTTAAGAAATAAATATCTCAGACGGAATCCTGATTCAAATGCTGAACCAGTAGACTATGGAATCCCTCAGGGATCAACGCTTGGACCACGGTTGGACCAGATTTCCATTAAAAACTGTAGGAATTACAGTAAGTTTAAATCAGTATATTTACGACAATCAGTTACACTACGCAATCACTGAAAACAACTGAGAAGAAGCCGATCGGTACAACACGCAAAATAGCTAAAACGGAGTGGATTTGGTAATGATATACTTCCGATAGTAAATGAAAGTGAAAAATTGGGTGAGTGGTTAGATTTCGATATCAGTTTCCAGAAACAAACAAATAGTATCATTTGTCACAGCTCCTATAGTATCTTGAGGCAGCTGTGTAGAAATAATAACTCAATATCTAGACTCACTAAATCTTTGTAAAGCACGATTCTATCTAAAGTTTCTCAGTGTGATGATATGCCTTGATACAATTGGACGTGAAACACCTACGGAAAATCCAAAATAATTGCATTCTTAATATGTACCAGTGACCATATCTCAGTTGAATTTGGACAGGCTGGCTCAGACTGATCAACTTCACTTTCTTTTGACTGTCAATACACCAAAAACTTGGTGGAACTTGGCCGATTATATAAAATATTGGAATCAGCTAGTGATATCATCATTATTCAATCATTTTTTTTCAACTGGACTATTTCCTAGACTTCATAAAATTTAAAGGGCATGATTCCTAGTACAGGAAAAATAATCGAGATCATTCTCAAGCACTGCTTTCATTCTTATCTTGAAAGTCTTTTAAATTTTTTCGAGTCACGATATAGTTTTCTTAAAAAAAATCCACCAGCCAAGTTGCTTTCCAACTGGTAACAAATATAGTCAAAAGTATCGATCATGGAAAACATTCTTCGTTGACATTATGAAAAACCTAGTTATTATGGCGTAAGCAGCACTGCTTACGTTCTTACCGTAATCACACGTTAAAAGGTAAGACCACGTTAGTCCTTAGCTCGCACAAGTTTCTCAATTTCTGAGAGTTGTCGTTCGTATGGGAGCGACAGCTGATTAACGGAAAAACAGATTTTAAACAGAAAATAGGTATCGTTGCTTTGAAACGAATACACGATTGGTGTTCCTCGAGATTCTGTACACGGACCATCATGATATATTATTCATATACATGATCTATGTAGTTCTATTGCACCCACAACATGTGTCTTGTTTGAGGATATTATTTCATCCCAACAAATATATTATGCAGTTGAGGATCTGGCAAATACCTGGCTGACAAGTTCTTAGGCTAATATTGAAAAAAATGTTTTGATAAAATTTGATTTTATTATTCAATATAGTTGCCGTCGAGGCATTTATAGCGGCCCTACAATTTTTCGATACCATTATAGTACGATTTGAGAATAGGAAATAGTATAAACCTTTCTCTTTACTCACTCTATCTATTAAAAAACCTGCANTTTGTGACACGTCTTGATGAAACAGTACTTTTTTTTCTTCAAATGGGGCCGTTTTTCCACGATTTAGCCTTTCAAACGATCTAATAACGTTATGTGATAGTCGCTGTTGATGGTTTTTGCTTTTTCAAGATAGTCTTTCGATTAACTGAATTTATACGATGAAAAGACTCAATATATCGTTATATCCCCAAATACTTATGTTCACCTTGGAAAAAGTATTGAATTTTTAGGCGTCGTCGTTGAGACTTTGTTCTTGATATTCATCTAAATTGATCAAGCCACATTGAGAGTATTACTCGATAAAAAAATAAACTCAATTTCACCATGTCTTTGCTGCATCCTCAAGACATTGTTTGTGGCTACCTTTGATTGATTTCAAACACTATGAATTTATAGAATCCAAAAGTCTCTTGTGTCTATAATATCAATCATACCGTTAAAAAAAGAGTAAACTTGCAAAAACATCTAAAATCAATGATTCAAAAATATAATTGCCGAAGTACTTCCCCTTGTAATCTCAATTGAATGTCACTCACGTCAAGTGAGTTCAGAAACCTCTACTTCAATTAGTTTATTTGTCATAACTCCGAAAAACTACATGAAAATAAACTGTTGTAAACGACACAAACAAAACCATTACAATTAAAATCCACCACCATTTCCAACATTTCGGTTCATCACATTAAAAACAATGTCACCAATGAACACCCTAATTGAGAATGAGTCATTGAATTCGCGTTCTGCGAAAAATAAACGAATTATGTATGGAATTGCATTATGGATCATTCACCGCACTGCCTGTGACTGAATTATTGTTTTGTGAAAAAACAAAAAATTTCACCGAACTTCATGACAACTGACAAAAATTATTCTATGCCCAAGCAATCTACTTCAAATAGTTCGTACTGGAACTTCTGGCGTAGAATTAATCTGTTGAAAACACTTTACCAACACAAGAACAAAAATTATGGTCTCTCAACACGCGTTTCGCTAACCAAGTTAGCGTCCTCAGGAGATCATTATGACTAAATTCTACTACTATGTTAGTGTTTGTTTGCCAATCCCAACGGGTCTAGAACCTTCTGGTCGGTAGATACAACTGTTAATCAGAACTTTACAAAATCCAGAATTCCACCAGTAGATCACCAACACTGATTCTGTGACACCAGCCAATGAGAGCGCGGTATAGTTTGGTGTTGCGCAGTTACGCTTTGCGCAGTATGGCTTGGTTCGGCGTACTACGTATCAGTTTCGCTCGAATCGTTATCTTTCAAATCGCGATAACGCCGCTCGATTCTCAACCGTACGAGTGACCTTGAGAAATAACGATTCAAGCGAAACTGATACATAGTACGCCGAAGCAAGCCATACTGGGCAAAGCGTAACAGCGCAACACCAAACTATACCGCGCTCTCATTGGCTGGGGTCACAGAATCGGTGTTGGTGATATATTTCCACCACTAACACAAGCGGATGGTTCAATTGCAACAACAGCCATAGAAAAATCAAATCTACTAGCTGAACAATTTGTGTCCCACTCCACAGTCGATTTTCTGAGAAAGGACCACCCGTTATTCCCACACCAGAATCCAAAATACCGGAAATTACTTTTCGACAGCGTCTCGTCTGGCGAATTTTTGAAACAGCTCAATAAGGCGTCTGGCCCTGATGAAGTGCCCATCATCGCACTTAAAAAGTGCGTAAATGAACTCGCACCAGTATTTTGCAGACTCTTCAACCTGTCTCACAAGTACTCATGATGCACTGTTTGGAACCTTTGGTGTAGTAATGAATATTACTGGAGTTTTTTCCCAAGCATAAATAGGGTTAGCTCGCATTAGTTTCTAGTTTTAATCTTCTTCTTTGAAGATGATCACTTGGTGATCGAAACACGTGTCGAGGTATTGAAAATAACGATTTGGTGTTGGGAAAAAACTCCAGTAATATTCATTTTCTTACAAGAAAGGGGGTTTTCCTTCTTGTTGTAAGATTGCCCGCGTTTAGCCTATTCTCAAAAAGGGCAAGTCGCTTTGCTATGAGCGATATCAAAAATCATGGAGAAAGTCATACACCACCATATCCTCATATATTTGGAAGTTTTAAACATCTTGAGCGATCATCAATATGGCTTACTGAAACAATGATCAACAGGCGACCTTCCATCGTATTTCACCCATATTTGGAAAAACGCAATCTAGAAACATGGAGAATCAAGAGCTGTTGCGCTTAAGTTTCTAAGGCCTTTGACTGAGTGTGGCATGGAGGTTTGCTGGCCAAACTTTGATGCTATGGCTAGTCGTATCATTTTTGTGTATAGCTCTTCAGCTTTCTGAAAGAAAGTTTCCTGCAAGTGGCCGTCGATGGATATATCTCGAATACTTTCATCACCATCGCTGGTGTTCCCCAGGGATCCATATTGTTTCCAACCCTCTTTTTATTGTAAATGAACGACTTATGGAAAAAAAACAAAAATTCAATATATTGCTTTGCTGACGACAGCTCACTTGTCTCGTCATTCCATTTGGATTCCAGGACATCGGCTACGGAGGCACATCTTCACAGGCAGCAGGAGGTTGCATATCTTGATGAGGATCTAGAAGTGATTTCGAATTGGGGTGAAAGTAACCAGGTTCAATTCAATGCCACAAAAACCCAGGCATCGGTTTTCTCCAAAAAGAATGTCTCCGAACCGGATATAATAATGTCAAGTCAGACAATTCCGTTTTCTGCTTCTGCAAAGGCTGCGTCTCAAAAGCTTGGAACACTGTTCCGAACCAAAAAACTTTATACACCTCAGCAATTTTTGATGGTCTATAAAGCTCAGATCAGACCTTCTTCAAAGTATTGTTCTCATGTATGGAGCTCATGTATGAGCTATGTATTATGAAACACTAACATAGTAGTAAAATTTAGTCATAATGATATCCTGAGGACGGTAACTTGGTTAGCGAAACGCGTGTCGAGGTGGAAAAGTGTTTTTAATAGATTCTAGGGGGTACTAAAAATTAATTTTCATATGCTCATTGTATGCAGGCTTTCACAGCCGGTGTCTAACAAATTGCCCGATGTTTCCGGGTTTATTAGCCATGGACTGCAGGTTTTCATACCTGAAGTTTCGTCTGCTAATGCGGCGACCTTCGAGGTGATCTACCTTGTTTAGATGCACAAACTGAAAATGGTTTACCGAACTCATCATTCTCCGAAGTGAGATTTCTAACATATACAGATACAGGACCGGATTTAGGGGAGGACAGGCGGGGCTACTGCACCGAGGCCTTCACAGGAGAGGGGCCCTACAATGAAGAAAGATAAAAATATATCCAAATTTTGACGGATCAGCAACTTTTACGTTTTTCCTTTCAAACTTTTTTTGCATCCTCACTAAGAGTACCTACTTGCACAAACATAATAATATTGTTATCGATATATCAAAAAGCCCTGATTGCAGGTTACAATTTACTATAAA